ATATATATGTATTTCCCTGGATTCTGGGAAATACACTAAGTCATGTCCAATGACCCCATGGACAATAGCGCACCTGGCTCCTCTGTCCATGAGATTTTCCGGGCAAGAATACTGGAGTGGGTTGCCAGTTCCTTCTACAGGGGATCCTGACCCAGGAATCAAACACGCAGCTCCTGCCACATCTCCCGCATTGCAGGTGGATCCTTTAATGAACAGCCACTGGGGAAGCCCAACACAGGATTTACTCTTAGATAATAAAGCTGATCCAGAGCTCACTAACCCTCCTACTGTACATGAAGTTAGAAACATCAGCTTCATTGATGGGAATTTGGAGGAATACAGAAAACGTCACCCAGAAAGGCAAAGAAGCAGTGCTGTTCCCTCTATCCTCAATCAGGTGAGCAGGGCTCTAAGAGGACCACTTGTAGTCATTTTGTATTCCCATGACAGGGAGAGACCTTATTCAGCATTACATTCTCTAGCGGGAGGCTTGCTGCAGTCAGAAACTTATAGCCCCAGTTCCAACAAGGCCACTGGGGTGGGGGCTTGTTGGGGGAAAGTAACCCAAGACACTTGTAAGGGTCTGGGACCACAGAGAGAACAGAGAGGTCAGAGTCAGGCTGGCTGGGGCAGGGTGAGGGGAAGGGAGTCAGCTGCTAGTCGGGCTGTACTTCTGCCCTTCGGCAGGACACACATGCGGAAGTCTCCTGGGGGCTCCCAGAAAGGTAACCACTCTTAAGACGTTTGCTGAGACCTCTCTCAGGAGGACTGCCAGCCAGGTGAGGCAATGGATACACTGTCAGGGTCAGAAGCTGAGGGGTGTGGGCTGAGTATCTTAAGGAGGGAACCAGAGCCAGTTAGTGCAAAAGTCCCCAAGGGGCAGGGGGTGGCTCCAAAGAACCCCAACACCTCACACCCTGAACCAACATTTACATGCCTGTCTTAGTAGAACACACTGATAAAGCCAAACTAAACCAAAAGTTTAGCCCTTTTCCCTCTAATATACCCTTCCCCATCCCAATCCTAGAAGTGACAGAGGAGGTAAAGAATGACTGAAATGAACAGAACCGTGAAGGTTTCCCCACCCCCACTGAGCTGGACAGAGAACAGCTTTGAATGGGAGGAGCTGTTGACAAGTCACTGAGATGGGGGAAGGGGTGGGGAAGACAAATGTAATTAAAACATTAGTATTTCAGACTGGTCTCAGACATGTTCTAGGGAATAATGGAACATATTTACACCAGAGTATTAACAATGCAGAAGGACCCTTGAAGTAAGACCAAAAAGACAGGGACTGTGGCAATCTGTGAGATTCCCGAGAAGGCTAAGTAGGGTGTTTCCGATTAATCAAATCACAAGGTGTCTCTTGTGACCATGAGAATCAAGAGACCAAGAGAACCACACAGACCTAACTGCTAAGATCCTTGAATTCCTGAGCCAATGCCAACAACCATCAGGTTTCTAATTTTATGAGGTGAAAAATCTAACTTGAGATATTCTTTAGGGGGATTTATTTTTGGGGGGAGGGGGCTTACAATCAAAATGTAACTGATAAAATCAATCTCTCAATTTCCTCATATGAGCATTTTTTCCCCAATTAGGAGTTCAATTTATAGGACAAGTGATAGTATAAACTAGCATCTGGTAAAATAATTAAATGTCTGAAGCACCCTGAAGGAAACACGGGTTTCCTTGTTTTGTGATCAAGACTAAGGTGGACAGGATGTCCAGAGAAGATATATTAGCCAAGGCATATAATGCTAACGACTGTAACAGTCCCCAAACTCACTAAATGAATGCAAAAGAGGTTAGTCCTTGTCAAAACCAATGTGGATGTTCTTGGTCAAGCAAGCAATTTTCCTCTAAGCCTGGGCTCAAACATCCAGAGGTCTATTCTCTGACTCCATCTTCAAACATCTGCCTCGAAAGGCAGATGAAGGGGTGGAGAATACCCTTCTCCACCCAAAGAGAAGGTTCACCCACTCTTTAACTGCCCTGTCTGGTAGTGAAACATCACTTCTACTTACTTTCCATTGGGAAGGACTATGCACACAGCCTCACCTTGAGGCAAGAAGCTGGGAAATGTAATTTAACTGTGTCTCAGAAAAGGACATTCTGGTGAGATCTAGCCTGTTTTTTTCCTACAGAAAATGGGATGCTAGTATGAAGATCTGGAAGATGAAAATGAACTCATCAGGAAAAAGTGCCCTGGGAAGACGAAGTGGCAATTTTAAAGACCCAGAAGTAGAAACGGCTTGGAACGCTTGAGGAATGAAAAGAAAGCCTGTGTGGCTAGAGTTTTTCATGTGGAAGGAGTGGATTAAGATGCAGTTGGAGAGGGAGGCCTGGGCAAGATCACTTAGGCCCTGGAAAGGAGTCTGCCTTTTGTTCTCAGAGCAGTGAGAATCCATTGAAGAGTTTTAAGCAGAGAAGTGGCATATCTGACTTACATTTTATTTTATTTTTTTTTTGTCTTTCAAACTTTTATTTAAGGGCACTGATCCATGATGGATTTTAGATCTTGTTGAACGCAGCCACATCCATAGACTGTACATACTCATCGAAAGCAGTGATCTGCTCCTCCAGCATGTCTGTCCCAACTTTGTCGTCTTCAACTACACACTGTATTTGAAGTTTTTTAATGCCATACCCAACTGGAACTAGTTTAGAAGAGCCCCAGACCAAGCCGTCTGCTTGAATGCTTCTGACGCACTCCTCTAGTTTTGCCATATCGGTCTCATCATCCCAAGGTTTCACGTCTAATAAGATGGAAGACTTGGCGACAAGTGCTGGTTTTTTGGCTTTCTTTGACTCATACTGGGCAAGGCGTTCTTCTCTTAGCCTCTTGGCTTCTTCACTTTCCTCCTCATCATCAGATCCAAAGAGATCAATGTCATCATCATCTTTACTATCTGTAGCTCCACTTTCTGTGGTGTCTTCCACATTAGCAGGGCCATACTTGCCCAAAGCTTTCTTCACTCCTGGCAGGCTGGCCTTTTCCTTCTCATAAGATTTGATGTGATTATACCAACGGAGGGCATGACACAAGTCGGCAGGTGGTGGGCCGGAGACGGCTTCAAATACTGCCACATCTGCTTGTGATGGCACATACCCCTCTATGTAACTCTTGTCCGCCAAGTAGTCGTTGAGCACCTGGAGGCCAGCGGGGCTTTTCAAGTCTCCAAAACCCATGGCGACGGCTAATCTAGAACTGGGAGGCAGCCAAGAAAAAGAGGCGCGCAACCGGTCAGCGCCCAGCGCAAAAAGGAAAAAAGGGCTAGATTTTTTTTTCTAGTATTCAGTTGCATGAGCTGCTTGTATATTTTGGAGATTAATCCTTTGTTGTTTGGTTGCAAATATTTTCATTCGTCCTTAGGGTTGCTTTTCATGTTGTTTATTGTTGTGTTTACTGTACAAAAGCTTTTAAATTTAACTAGATTCCATCTCTTAATTTTACTTTCATTACTCTAGGGGGTGGGTCAAAGGGGATCTTGCTGTGATTTATGTCAAAGAGTGTACTGTCAATGTTTCTTGTAAGAGTTTTATAGTTTCTGGCCTTATATTTAAGTCTTTAATCTATTTTGAGTTTATTTTTGAATATGGTGTTACTAAATGTTCTAATTTCATTACTTTGCACATAGCTGTCCCATTTCACAGCATCATTAATTGAAGAGGCTGTCTTTTCTCCACTGTATATTTTTGCATCCTTTGTCAAAGATAAAGTGTCCATAGATGTGTGGGTTTTTGTCTGGGCTTTCTATATTGCTCCATTAGTCTATATTACTGTGACCTTGTAGGATAGTCTGAAGTCAGGAAACTTAATTCCTGTAGCTCCATTTTTCTTTGTCAAGATTAGGGTCTTTTCTATTTCCATACAAATTATATAATATTTTATTATAAGTCTGTGAAACTACAATTTGCAATTTGATAGAGATTTCATTGAATTCATAGATTGCTTTTGGTATTGCTATTTTCACATTATTGATTCTTTCAATCCTAGAGTATGTTATATCTTTCCATCTTTGCTACATGTTTGATTTCATTCAGCAGTGTCATACTTTTCTGTAGACAGCTATGCTTTCTCTTTAGGTATGTTAATTCCTAGAATTTTTTTTTTTTTTTGTAATGGTTAAAGGGATTATTTCCTTAATTTCTATTTCTGAGTTTTCATTCTTAGTTTATAGGAATACAAGGAATGTTTATGTATTAATTTAATATCTTGTTAATTCCCTAAATTCATTGATTCATTATTGTAATTTTCTGGTAGCATATTTTGGGTTTTCTATGTATAGTATCATGTTATCTGCAAAGAGTGAGAGTTTTACTTCTTTTCCAAAATAGAGTTGTTTTATTTTTTTCTTCTATGATTGCTGTGGTTAGAACTTCCAGAACTATGCTGAATAATAGCAGTGAGAGTGGGCACCCTTAGCTTCTTCCTGTTCTTAGAAGAAATACTTTCACTTTTCCATCATTGAGAATAATGTTTGCTGTGGTTTTGTCATACATGGCCTTTGCTATGGTGAAGTAAGTTTTTCCTATGCTGATTTTATGGAGAATTTTTAGCATAAATGGGTGTTGAATTCTGTTGAAATATTTCTCTATATCTATTGAGATGATTATATGGTTTTTATCTTTCAGTTTATTAATATGGTGTATCACATTGATTGACTTGTGCATATTGAAGAATCTTTGCATCATTGGGACAGACCCCACTTGATCATGCTATGTGACACTTTTAATATGTTGTTGGATTCTGTTTGCTGGCATCTTGTTGAGGACTTTTTCATCTATGTTCATCAGTGTTATTGGCATGCAGTTTTATTTTTTGGTGTGCTATCTTTTTCTGGTTTGGGTGTCAGGGTGATGATAGTCTTGTTAAATGAGTATTGGGGTTTTCTTCTGCAGATTTTTGGAAGAATTTGAGCAAGATAAATGTTAGCTCTTCTCTAAATGTTTGATAGAATTTACCTGTAAAGTCATCTGGCCATGGGCTTTTTTGTTGTTGTTGAAATATTTTTACTACACTTTCAATTTCTGTGCTTGTGATTAGTCTGCTCATATATGCTATTTCTTACTGGTTCAGTCTTTGAAAGTTGCAGTTTTCTATGATGTAGTCCATTTCTCCCAGGATGTCTTTTTTATTGGCATGTAGTTGCTCATAGTGTCTTTTATGATCCTTTGTAATGCTGCATTGTCATTTGTAATGTCTCTTTTTCGTTTCTAATTTCATTGATTTGAGGCTTATCTCTTTTTTCTTGGTGAGTCTGGTCAGTGGTTTGTTAATTTTTTTTTTTAATCTCAAAGAACCAGCTTTTAATCTTGCTTACCTTTGTTATTGTTTTCTTCATTTGTTTTTCACTTATTTTGTTCTGATCTTTATGACTTCTTTCCTTCTGCTAACTCTGGGGCTTTGTTGTTGTTCTTTTTTCTTGATTCTTTAGGTTAAGCTGTTCATATAATAGTTTTGTGATTTCTTTAGGTAGGTTTATTTTACTATGATTTACCTCTTTGTACTGCTTTTACTATATCCTCTAGGTTTAGAGTTGTTACTTTTTCATTTACAATTTTTCTAGCTGTTTTACTTCCTCTCTGATTTCTTCAGTGTCCTCTAGGCTATTTAGAACCATATTGTTTAGCCTCCTTGTATTTGTGTTTTCAATATTTTTTTTCCCTGTAATTGACATCTAATCTTATAGCTTTTGCTCTGAAAAAAATGCTTGATAAAATTTAAATTTTATTAATTTTACCAAGATATAATTTACTCAAGATATAATATACCCTATAGAATGTTCCATGTGCAGTTGAGGAAAAACAATTCTACTTCTTTAGATGTAATGTCCTGTAGACATGGATTAGATCCATCTGGTCCAGTATGTGTCATTTCAGACTTGTGTTCCCTTTAATCTTCTGTCTGGATGATCTGTCCACTGGTGTGATTCGAGTGCTAGTCTCCAATTATTATTGTGTTACTGTTTATTTATCTTTTCATATTGTTTAGCATTTGCCTTCTGTATTGTGGTGTTCCTATGTTGAATGCATGTATATTTATAGCTGCTATATCTTCTTCTTGGGTTGATCATAATATAGTGTTTCTTTGTCTTTTGCAATGGTTTTTATTTTAAAGTCCATTTTATCTTATGTGAATATTACAACTCCTGTTTTCTTTTCATTTCCGTTTGGTTGGAATATTTTTTTTTCCCACCTTTTCACTTAGAGTCTATGTTTCCCTAGCCCTGAAGTGGGTCTTTTGTAGACAGGGGTCTTCTTTTTGTATCCATTCAGCCAATCTGTCTTTTGGTTGGAGTATTTAATCCATTTACATTTAGGTAATTGTTGATATATATGATCATATTACCATTTACTTTATTGCTTCAGATTTGTTTTGTAAGCCTTTCTCTCACGTGTGTTTTCTGTCTTGAGAAATTCCTTTAATTTTTTGGTAAAGTTGGTTTAATGGTACTTAATCTTCTTTTATGTTTATCTGTAGAGCTTTAGTTTTCCTCTTCCATTCAGGTGTTTCATGTTTCCACAAAAAAATTATAATTGTTTATTCTGGTTCTGTGAAAAATGGCATTGACATTTTAATTGGGATTGCATTGAATCTATAGATTGTTTGGAGGTAGTATGGACACTTTAACAATATTGAGTGTTCTAATTCATGATCATATTATGTCTTCCCATCTGCTTATGTCATCTATAATTTCTTTCATCAGTATCTTATAGTTTTCTGATTATATGTCTTACCTCCTTAGATAGATTTATCCCTAGGTATTTCATTCTTTTAAAGCAGTTGTAAAGGAAATTGTTTCCTTAATTTCTTCCCTGAACTTTTGTTGTCAATGTTTAGAAATGCTACAGATTCTGTGTATTAATTTTGTATCCTCTAACATTTCCAAATTCATTATGAGTTATAGTTTGTTTTTGTTTTTGCTTTCCCCCAGTGGTATCTATAGAATTTCTATGTATCAATTCAGTTCAGTCGCTCAGTCGTGTCTGACTCTTTGTGACCCCATGAACCGCAGCACACCAGGCCTCCCTGTCCATCAGCAACTTCTGGAGTTTACCCAAACTCATGTCCATTTGAGTTGGTGATGCCATCTAACCATCTCATCCTCTCTCATCCCCTTCTTCTCCTGCCTTCAATCTTTCCCAACATCAGGGTCTTTTCAAATGAGTCAGTTTTTCGCATCAGGTGGCCAAAATATTGGAGTTTCAGCTTCAACATCAGTCCTTCCAAAGAATATTCAGGACTGATTTCCTTTAGGGTGGACTGGTTGAATCTCCTTGCAGTTCAAAGGATTCTCAATAGACTTCTCCAACACCACAGTTCAAAAACGTCAATTCTTCTGCATTCAGGACCAGTTTTATTCTTCCTTTCCAATTTGGATTATTTTTATTATTTTTCTTGTCTGAATGCTGTGACTAGGACTTCTAATACCAAGTTAAATAAAAGTGACAAGAGTGGGTATAATTGTCTTTTTACTTATCTTACAGGAGATACATTCAAGGTTTTCACTGTCAAGTATTACATTCACTGTGGACTCACCATAATGATCTTTATTATGGTGAGATATGTCCCCTCTTATACTCATTGTATTTAGTTTTTAATGTCAGTTAACATTGAGTTTTGTCAAAAACTTTTTCTGCATCTATTAAGATTATCATTTGATTTGTATACTTCAATTTGTTAATAGATGATAAAGTTGATTGGCTGTTTATATCCTTGGACTAAATCCCACTTGGTCTTTCTTGGCATACGATCATTTTAATGTATTATCAAATTCAGTTTGCTAATATTTTGTAGGGAATCTTTGCATCTGTGTTCATATCTTATTTGTTGCTTTTTTTCAGTCTCTCAGCTGTGTCTGACTGAGACCCCATCGACTGCAGCATGGCTGGCTTCCCTATCCATCATCTGGAGCTTGCTCAAACTCATGTCCATTGAGTCAGTAATGCCATTCAATCATCTCATACTATGCTGTCCCCTTCTCCTCCTGCATTCTATCTTCCACAGCATCAGGGTCTTTTCCAGTGAGTTGGCTCTTTGCATTAGGTGGCCAAAGTACTGGACCTTCAGCTTCAGCATCAGTCCTTCCCATAAGTGTTCAGTGCTGATTTCCCCTAGGATTGACTCCTTTGATCTCCTTACAGTAAAGTGACTCTCAAGAGTCTTCTCCAACACCACAGATTGAAAACATCAGTTCTTCAGTGCTCAGCCTTCCCTATGGTTCAACACTGACATCCATACATGACTACTAGGAAAACCGTAGCT